TTGAGAAATTTTGTTAGACACATTGGCCATGGTAGTTTGCAATTTTATAATTTTTAGAGTGTTTCAATAATTTGAAGCAAAAAGCTAAACTTAAAAAAAGAAACAAAATTGTAATGAAATACCAAATTTTAATTAAATTAACTAGAAAAATTTAATAATTAAAAAAAAATGTTATGCACATTTGTATTTTTTTAAGGGTGGTTGTTATTTTAAATAAAGAATTTGATACAAGTCGAGGAAAAAAACATTTTATTTTATAATAACAATTTTATAAATTTATAACAACAATTGAAAGTTTTGATATGCAATTTATTCACAGTTTTTACGAAACTAATTTGCTATGTACTCAAGAACTATAAGAAACTTAGTTAATTTAGTTCATTTTCATGTCTTATAGTTTTTAAAAATGCTTTTGCTATATTTGACAGATTTTTTTTTCAAAATTTATATAATAGGAATATCAGAAAATAAATTTTTATTTATCTGTAAAATATATTATTTGATTAATGAATTGATTAATGATTAATGACGGAAGAAATTAAATAAAAGAATACCATGGTTTATTTTTTAAATATATTCACAATACTTGATGCCTGTTTGAAATTGTTTCCTTTATATTGCCCAATTTTCAATGTTAAGACAAATCACTTGAGATAATAAATAAAACAATTGCTCTGTTTGAAAAAAATGTATTAAAAAACTTAAATAATTTAGACAGCTCCTAAAAATTTTGTTAAAAAAGTTCAGCTGCAGATTTTGGAGCGTTGATAACAAAAGTTCATCAGGAAATAAACTATCAATTTTAAATGCACAATTTGGAGAACCAACAAAAGTGCAGACTATTTCAATGGAGGTAGTGACAACAACCAAATATTTTATATTTGAACATTAATGACTTTTTATTATTTTATATGAAAAACTTGTAAAAAAATATATATTTTACAAATAAATAACAATAAGTTTTCTTGCTTTCCTGTGCATTGATAAAAACAGCAAAAACATTTGAAAAATAAGTTTTAAAATTGTCTTTATTTCTAGCGCAAATAATAAAGTATTTCCTCGATATACTGACTGACAAAAGTCACAAATAAATTGTATATCAAAAAATGTTTTTGGTTTCTTTACATTCTTATCTGCTTTCTTTCTCAACTTGTATTAATTTTTTGCAGTGGAAAATAACAAACGTCCTAAAAAAAAACAATAAAATATTTAGGTATAATTTATTTTTGACAATTTTTTTTTTTTTAGTTTTTTTGTGTAGATATTCTATTTTGTATAGTATTTGTTCCATTTTTTGGAGTATTGCTGTTTTATTCTCTGTAGTTTCTTATAGGTTTAATTTGCCGCAACTTCTTAAAACGCTTACTAAATAAAAATGTGGTCAAGTTGTCTAAAAAATTACTTTAAACGCGGATGAACAATGCTTCCCGGGAAGGCTTGTGTAAGCAAAGTTTAAACACTTGCAAACACTTAAAATCTTTCACTACTCTGGGAAAACTCCCAATTTCAACGAAGAAACAAAATCAGCTGCAACTTTAGTAGAATTCAATCACACATTTGACCCAGAAGTAGTACGCTAACTTGTTTTAGATTTAAAAAAAGTTGTGGAATTGCTGACTGAAAAAAATAACAAAATTGTAGCCGATAAAGTTCTATCTGGAGAGCTACAAAGCAAATATGTTGAAACATATAATGAAGAACATACGATTTCTTCATCTGAAGTTTACGAAGAGCTTTACAAAAATAGGAATCAATATTATTCAATCATAAAACTATTTAAGCTATTATTGCTAATCACACCAAGTATTGCTAATGTTCTCCTTTACACAAAGCAGATTAGTTCTATTTTAGTGTCATCTTTAGATAAGTTAATGCATTTTGTGTTGTTGGGTTGGCTTTCAAACCTGATGAGTTTAGTAAGAAAATGTGGGAGTCTATTATCGATAGGTTTTGAGACAGCTTAGAAAGACAGATTGCTTTATAAAATAAAGGTAATTCATTTACATTTATAACAAGTCTTATGAAATAAAAACTGCATTGTACGAAAGAATATATTTTGTTTCCTTTATTTATACTCTTCTTTTTGCCAATTAATTACCAAAATAAATCAAAAGTTATAAAATTATATACCTAAGGTAACCTCTAGTTATCTTTATTTTTAGATATTAGGATAATATTATCTTTATAGTACAATTAAATTCAATTTTATAATAATATAATTTATAATATTTCAACTTTTTTTTTTCTTTTTTTTTTTCAGTTACATAGGTATTTGGGAAAATTGTCATAAGTAGCAGCACCCAAACTATGGCTAGATAAGGGGTCACAAATATGGCTGGAAGGGGTCACAAATATGCCCGTTGCTAGCCGTATTTTGGTAGGGGAGAAAACACATTAAAACTCAGAAAAGATTACAATGGGTTACAGCAACTTATATAGTTTATTGGAGAAAATTTTACATTTGCTCTGCTGATGCAAAGTGCACCTCAGTTTGGAAAATTGGTACTGTTATTAACGTACTCACAAACATAAATATTGAAATTAACGGTGCACCAAGATATGTGCAAGATAGAAGAATAGCTCTTGCCTCAAATTCTACAAGCACTTTAAGTAAAATTATTATCAGTGATTAGAATGACAGATTTAAGTATTTTTACTGCAAGGGAGGAAGAAACCAAAACAGTTGCTGACGCTGAGGTGGAAACTGATGACAGAAGTCCTCAATAATTTATTACCATAGATAAGATGGTAATAAACCAGAGAAAGGTTTATTACCATCTTATGACAATATCTTTAAATGATTATGTTCAAGGGATTGCGGTAGTGAGAAAAGTTGGTATTATGTTCTGGTCGGTATTAATAACCAGTCACTACCGAAGTTATGATATTGAAAGTAAGTTTTTACTTTCAATTTCAATACCATAACTTCAATATCAACACTTTCAAAAGTTCGGTATTGAACAGTATCTTTTGATAGTGTTTGATAGTGTAAACTTAAATTATCGCCACTATCAAAAGAACCAAACACCTCTTTTGATTATCTCACCTTAAAAAAACTTGCTATTTACAGTATTTAAACCTATTAACTTAACCAATGCTCCATTTATTGGCAAAATATCAGTGCCATGCATCAATAAACCATTTTGATAAGACAAAAAAAAAAATGATATATTGAGTTCCAATTTATTAAAGAATCAGAAACAGTATTTTCAAATGGTATTTTTATTTAAACCAGAAAATTTTAATGAAAGTACAAATCAAAGTCTTCATCAATGTTCTGCTCATTTTCTTCAACTGACCACTTCTTAATAACAGCTTTTGAAATGTTTTGTTTGATATTTATTTTTGTTGATAGGCACTGTTTGCATTGGGCAACATCTTTGCCATGAAAATCTTTTTGAAATAATTCCCAATAAAGACTTGCTCTTGGCATTATCAACTCTTATAATGTCTGAACTCTTAAGATGTCACTTTCTTCAAAACAATAAAACAATGTTATTATCACAATTTTAGACAGTTCTGTGAATTTTATTTTTAAAAGAAGTAACCACTGCAGCAACAAAATTAAACCATAAAAATAATTGAAAATTAATTATTTTTATGAAATCTACTTAATACAATAGAGTTTCCCTAATTCAAATTTTATACTGAAAAATATAAATATAAGAATTAAAGAGATTTTCAAATTATAAAAAGTTTATTTTTTCTTAAGCGTTTTTTACGGTGACTTTGCGTTTAATTAAATTATGGAGGTTTTCGAATTAAGGAGATTCGAATTAGAGAGATTGGACTTAATAATTCAATTTTAATAAAAATATATTTTGAGGCAAGGAATCCAATAACACAACTTGAAATACTTAAAAATAAACATAACACATGTAATATTGACCTTTATTGCAATTTTACCCCCTTCCCACTTGTAACAAATTGTCACAATTGCTAACCTCTTCCCTCTCCTTTTCTATTGTGTGATGTAATTTGTAAAAGACCCCCAACTTTATTTAAAGCATAAGAGAAAACTATTAGAAAATAAAGCTTTAAAAAGATGCTAATTTTTAACAAATATAAGATTTTGAGAGAATTTATCAAATAAAAGAGTCATACTTTTTATGATACTAAACAATACTAATACACATTAAATTTTTTTACTAAGTAAATGTATGATTTAAAATGTAGCAAAGAAAAAATACTTTAAAAAGTATATACTAAAGTAAAAGTACACACTTCAAAAAATACTTAAAAAGTAAAAAATTTACAAAAAAACTACTCATTTACAGTAACGTGAGGAAATGTATTTCATTACTTTCCATCCTCTGGTACATAAAATGATTCATATTAAAATTTGAAATGAACAAAACTATTTATTGATCTTTAGATAATTTCTCCTGCTGTGAATTGCCAAAGTTCAAAAGATTATAACTGAAACACTACTTTGATAATAGTTAACATCTTATTATTGATCCAAAGTGTTAACAAAATATATTTTCATTTCTAAATACTCACAGTGTGAACTTAAATTCATTATAAACATTATTATACTATAAACATTAATTTTAAGAAAACATTCATTATATTATAACATATTTTAGCTTTAATGTGTCTAAATTTGCAAAATAAATAAGTTAATTTTCAAAATAAATATGCTAAAAGCTCTTATAAGACTTGAATAATATTACACTAATAATAAAATAACTTCCATTTATGTTAAACAGCTTAACATTAATGTTTCATTTATGCCAAAGTGCAAAACAAAATTTGTTGTTGTTGTAAATAAGTTAATTAAAAGCATATTGGCAAGTTAATCAACTTTGTTCAAGATGGTAACTCAATGATTCAATAATTTATTTTGTCTGTAAAAACACCTATTTTCCTCAATAAGCTAATTATTTTAATTGTCTAATTATTTTTAATTACTTAAATAATATAAAAAGAGATGTTATTTGTTTATAATTTACTTATGTCCTTTTTGAATATTTTAGAAAATTGTAATAAAAATTTACCTCATCTGTACAATCAACATTTATCACATTTTTATCTTTTAAATAACTTTGAACAAGCGATAAATTTCCCTGAACTGCTGCTATATGAAACTGTATTTCTTGCTCATTCATTTTAAAAAACT